ACGGTACATATTCAATAAACACTTGTTGAATGAATTCTTGACCCACTAACATGGGCCCTCCACAAGGGTCCATGGTGCTCCAGGGACAGAGCAGAGTGGCCAGGAGTAATGGCCTGCAGAGGGCTACGCCACAGCAGAAAAGGGAGAGCCTGCTTCCAGAGGACTGTGGCTTCCACCCAGAAGCACTCTGTGCCAAAGAGCGGGAGGGCCAGGCCCAGGCCAGTCGCTGATGTACATTGCTTTGCTTGTGATAGGGTTGGAAAGGGAGGGAGGAGGCCCAAGACTATCTCTGGCACCCCATTAGGAGATGAAGAGTCCAGGACTACCTGCCCAGCTCCTAGTTACTGCGTTTGGGGGGAGGGCAAGAGGGGAGCCTGACTTTTGTTTGTTTTGTTTTTGAGATAGGGTCTCACTATAAAATTCAGGTAGGCATTGAACTGTAGCACAAACTGGCCTTGAACGGAGATTCTCCTGCCTCAACCTGCCAAATACCTGGCAAGAGGAGCTTGATTTTAAGCATTTGGTGTTGTCTACAGTAGGGGCCCTGTGTGACTCCAAAAGCCACGGTCCTGAATGAAAAGCTAGGGAAGGCTAAACAGTGGCACTGGATAAGACAAAGCGGCCTGGGCGGGGTGTGGACCCGGCAGGCTCTGGTAGGGGATGGACCGGCGGGGGCGGAGCGCGGAACTCCCCGTGCCGGAAGCGCCATGTGACCGTGACTCCGCGAAACAAAGGGCTACTCTGCGGCCGCTGGCACCTAGCACCAACCCTCCTCGTCCCCCTACAGCCTCGACTCTACCTTGCACTCCGGGATCCACTGAGCCCCGGGGGTGGGGGCGCCCTGGGAGATTGCGACGGAGGCCGGACACGACTAAGTCTCTGAAACGCAAGGGCGGGGCGGGGCCGGCGGTGGCGCCTACCGGATCCCTCCCTCCGTCCTCCAGGCACCCGCCAACCTCCATTTACACGTGTGTCCTAGGTGGGAGGATCATTGTCTCTGCGTAATCATCGCCCTCCGTTTAGGAGGCTTAAGTAAAGCCTGCGCAAGGAGAGCCTGATTGGAAGCCATCTAGCTTCTCTCGCCCAAACAAGTATGCTCTAAGTTTGCATCAGTTAGCTGCCATTGATACTGTTACAGAAGAGACACCGCTTTCAGCTAGAGAGCCTGGAAGAGGAAGGGGGTGAGGCAGCGAGAGCAGACTGTGCGGGGCAGATACGCGCACTGAGCTGCGCATGCGTGAGTGGGTGCCGCCTGGGGAGGGACTTGGGGGGCCGTGGCCTGCGGGGGCGTGGCCTGCCCCTCCTCATCTCCCCCAGCATGGGCTTGGCTCTGGGGAGGTTGGCATCTGGGTGGGGCTTGGGGTACAGTCAGAGGCTGCATTTTTCTCATCTCCTTTCAGGTCGGCTTCCCTAGAGGAGCGATCCAGAGGGGATCCAGGAGGGACTCAGAGGTTCCAGGGTCCGTTTCTACAGAGCTCTGACTTTATCTGGGCCCTAAACCTGAAGCCAGGACCAGAGTCCATGAGTTACTGACATCAGGGGAACTCTGCCTAATTTCAGGCCTCACTTCAAGGCTCTGGCTCCGTGGGTGGAAAGGGAGGGGCAGTGCGGGCAGTGGAGACAGTATGTCCTCAGAGCCCTTGAAGACAGAAGACAGCATGGCCCCAAAGCTGGTCTCTGACTTTTTTATTTTTTATTTTATTTTTTGGTACCAGAGATGAAACTCAGGACCTTGCACTTGCGAGGCAGGTGTGGTGCCACTGATCTAAATCTCTGGCCCTGGTGTCTTGACTCTTAAGCTCACAGGTCTGCGTGGAGAGTCCCTCGTCCCCACTTTCGGTTTTGAGATGAGGTCTTGCTCTGTAGTTCACACTGGCCTTGAACTCACTACAATACATAACCCAGGCTGGCCTCGAAATGATAGTGATCCTCCTGCCTCAGCCTTCACAGTTATGGGATCACGAGTGTGTGATGTCATACCTGGTGAGATGTCCCTTTTTCTAGGGAGCCTCCCCCAGCAGGACTCTGCCTCACCTGGGCCTGAGTTTCGATACTTGGGCACTCCCCTAGTTATTGCCTTTTTGTTTTGAGGTCCAGGCTGCTACTACTACTACACACTATTGGGTATTGAGGGCTCTGAATACATATTTGTTGAAAGATTGACCAAATAGATCAAGTCCAGCTGTGCATATCTGTAATCGCAGCTCTCAGGAGATAGGTGGGAGGATTGCCATGAGTTGAAGGACAGCTGGGCTATATATCTAGACCCTGACTCAAAACGAAGCACCAAGCAAAAAACCTAAGCAATAATAACAATAACCAAAACCCCCAAATAGGTCAGGTCCATCCTAGGCTCCTCTGAACTGATGTTCAGCGCAGGCCTCACTACCACAAGAGGCTATTGAGCAATTGGAATGTGACTAGCATGACAGAGGAAATGTTCATCATTTGATTACTTTTTTTTTTTTTTAAGGCAGAGACTTGCTAAATCAATAAATTGCCTGAGTTGCTGAATTGCCTAAATTGGGCTCCAACTTGCAATCCTCCTTTCTCAGTGTCCCAGAGAGGGATTACTGGTCAGTTTTGGTTTCTGAAGAAACAGCCTGACCTTGACAAAAATGTGGGCAAAAGGAGCAGTGCTTGATTCTGGCTCCATCATTCAATTCATGTGAAACCTTAACCCCAGTTTTTTTCCCAGTTATTATTATTATTATTATCTTTTGGAGACAAAGTCTATGTACTCCAGGATGGTCTTGAACTCAATGTGTAGCCCAGGTTGGCTGGCTGGGATTACAGGTGTGTGCCAACATGCCTGGTTTATTTATTTTTTGTGATACTGGGTATCAAACTCCAGGCTGAGCAGCATCTCCAACCCCATCTCTTCACTTGTAAAACAAAGCTAATAACGATAGGGAAAGATTTAATAGCAAAAACCCTACAAAATGTCACAATGTAAGATAACCTCCTCCCTTTACTCTGTTTAGTTCAGAATTAACCGGTGGGAGGCACCTAGTTTCCCTCAAAAGTTTTGTAAATAAAAAGGCCCATTGTTAGCTTTATTAACCAAACACAGCACCCCTTCCCCTTGGCTAGAATAGATAACTAAATGAATTTTAAAGGTAAGCTCCCCTACCAAAGAAGTGCTACATCCGGGTTGAAATTCAACTGCTTGGGTTCACCATGTTTTGAGCATCGGCAATGTGAACTGTGAAAATGCAATGTAACCACCTGAATGAGATCACACCCTTAAAACCCTATAAAAGGGGGTGTTGCAACTGAGTACTGGATGGATCAGGGCACCATCACTAGGTGTCATTGATCCCCACTGATGGAGTAAACTTTTGTTATTTTACCTCCATTCTGCTGCCTCTGTATGTCAGTTGCCAATTCCTCTGTATCCATAATATGTCTTAGGGCTGTACCACATATATAAAACAAAGAACCTAGTACAGAGCTGACATATAGTAACAGCCAAATGATTGGTACCTGATAATAAACAGAATAGGCAGTAGAGCAGGGTGCTGCAAGTCTGTAATCCCAACACCGGGGAGGCTGAGGCAGGAGGGATTGCCACTGGTTCCAAGCCGATCTGAGCTATATAGTGAGTTCAAGCCCAGCCTGAACCATATATCAAGACTGTTATATTAATAATAGTGATAATAATAACAACAAATGAATAGGCAAATCCTACTTTTGATCATTTGTGTGCCTATTCTTAGGGGCTCTTTCCTCCTCATATCTTCACCAACTCAAACACATACTGTGAAGCCTTTGGATATCATAAGTACTGTGATAATTATTGTTTTGTTTGCTAACCTGGCTTTCCCATCCTTCTTCTGGAAACACCCTACTTCCTCCACTGTAGGACCAGACATGTGACCTAGGCCTGGGAAGGACCAAGCAGGATCCAACAAAACCTCTAAAGTCAGGAGTGGTGTTGAAGCACTCTGGAAGGTTGAGGCAGGAGGATCACAAACTCAAGCCCAATCTGGGCAATTTAGTGACTTAGTAAGATTTTGTCTCAAAACAAAAAAATTAAAAGGGCTTGAGAATGTTGTTTAAAGGCCCTGGGTGCAATCCCCAGAACCTCACTGTAAGACCTAGGGCCTTACTTCCACGCTGAGGAGCTTGAACAGCCAAAAGGGCCTCCAAGATGCTGGGCCTATGTCCAGCGATTGCTCCAGGGGCTTGACGAGCAGCAAGAATCGCCCAGGAAGGAACACACCAGACTAGTTGGAAAACAGACCTTTATTAGTTTGGCTAGATGGCACTTCTGGAGCCAAGCAGCTCAGAGGCATCAGCTCAGGGTCATAGGCTGTTTTTGTAAGGGGATAGACAGGGTGGGGGTCTATACTCAAAGCACGTAGGCAGGGGGCACTCGGCAGTCATGTGTTGTTGGTTAACAGACGCTTACAGAATGAACCCAAGGTTTTCAAAACATTCCTTCCCAGGGAAGACCAGGAGTGAAACAGTCTTATCTATTCACTCAGAACTACTAACTGTTCACCTGTTAATTTACATTAATCACAGTTGAGACTAGGAATTTACCACCACCACCACCATCACATACAAACACATAAAGACCTCTGAAATGGATTTACTGATGTTGAGAGAGAGGTCTCTTTTTGTTGTTTTGTTTTTTGAGATAAGGTCTCATTATGTAATTCAGGCTGTCCTTGAACTTACTATGTAGCCCAAACTGGCCTTGAACTCAGCAATCCTCCTGCCTCAGCCTAGGGATTACTGGAGTGAACCACCACACCTGGCCTGAGAGAAACCTTCCTTCCAAATTTGAGTC